TGAAGGTAAAGGCAAATTTCGAGAACGGAATTCCTTTTGTTAGGAGGGAAGAATGTAATACCGGATAGTTTCGGTATTTTATTAATTGTTTTAATTGTGTTTTTAATTCTTTAATTGATTTCTTGGCTATTTGTTAATTGTTTATATGAATTAATTGATTTTGTGTTTATTTGAAATACCTGTTTAGTTGAATTATGTTTTAGATGATGTATATTTGTTTACTTAAATGTTAGGTGTTTTCTTGTAATTAATGTTTAGGAATTAAATGTTTTAAATGATTATTTTATTTTATTTTATTCTAATGGTTATGGATAGTAGTCATGGGTCAACCAATTGGGTTCCATGGATTACTTGGATAAAGGGTTTAATGGGTACGGATAATTACCTATAGATAGGGTATATAAATATACATATATATATAAGGAAAGTCCTTTAGTGATAATATGATGTATTTATTTATTTATATAAAATGACATACATAGATTATACGTAACATATATTTTAGTTACCTTTTTAGTATTTTAATTTTATGATTTTTCTTTATTAATTTGATTTGGATTGAGAAAAGGAGTAGGGTTATTATTTAGCCTATAAATATATAACTATATGGTTGAAAAGAGGATTATAAATATATTGCGTAATATATTTTAAAGAGAGAGAGAAAGAAGGAAGAAGGAAGAAGGAAGTTAGGATTTTTATCAAATTCCTAAAGGAAAGTTCTTGTTTTACACTTCTCCTTTGATCTATGAAATTTATATCTCTAGTATAATCTTAGGATTATTTAAAAAATAATTACAACTAGAATTTATAATTTAATTGATCTAGAAAATAGGTTTTGTAAATTATATTTTTCATGGTTGTTCTTGTTGTATGAATTGATAAATTCATGAATTTGATTTGATTTCTTTATGAGTTTATACATGTTTTAAATGATGTGTTTTCATATCTGAGTATTGATGGAACTTAGAAACATGCCTTAGAGTCCTTAAACAATAAAGAATAAGTTCGTAGTAGAATTCTAGGTTTATTCGCGTAACAGTGCTTGGTCTGCTGTTACAGTGCTCGGGCCTTAGAGGCATAGCTCGAGCCTTGGATGAAAAGCTCGAGCCTGAAAAGAAAAGCTAGAGCAATTAGATGAAAAGCTCGAGCCTGAAATTTTTTTTTCGAGCAATTAGGTGTAAAGCTCGAGCTTGAAGTAGGAAGCTCGAGCTTGAAACAGAGAGCTCGAGCAATTAGGATAAAAGCTCGAGCCTTACTTGGGGAAGTTTCGTAAACAACGTTGAATTAATTTTAATTGAATGTGAGGGGTCCTAAACATCAAATAAAGACTAGATATGAGTTTAAGTAAATTCTAAACAAACTTAAATATAACAATGCATGCTATTTGATTCTTTGAGGAATGAATTGATTTAATCTTTATTTTATTCTAAAAATTAAGATTAAATGTGTAACATGAATTGTATTTGGAGAATGCTTACTTGACTGTATAGTAAAATATCAGCATGTTTAAGATTTAGTTTGTGTAGGATATGTGATGTAAGACGCTTAAATAAATTTATAAGTCATTCATATTTTGTGATAACATGATGTTATGTTATTATGTTTAATTATGTATTATTTGATGTATTTCTTTAATTGTTACATCAACTGTCAGATTGTGTGGATGTAGTGCACCAGTATAGAATGGTGGCACTCTAGGGATGGATTAACTTATCAGTTAAGTCTTACCTATTTTATAAGGGAGCGGATTAACTAAAATGTTAAATCCTACTTATATTTGTGTCAGGTTAACTGAATAAGTTGGAGGATACATAGTGGATTACTTTAGATTGGATAGAATATTATATATATATATATATATATATATATTGACATATGTCATGATATGAGCTTGAGTCTTAGGATCAGTGGATAGGGTGAGTATATTGCTAGGGATGTGTAGCTAGATATAGTGTGATTGTGTGCCCTGGTAGGTCTAGGTACTTATGCCCACTGTATGTGCGTCTTGCATGTTACTTACTATTCAAGTAGAGGCAACCCTATAGTCTAGTGAGGTTTCTTTAATGTGTATATATAGTATGGATTATATAGTTATTGCATGGGTTAGTTATAGATATATAGTTTCTACGGTCTCTGTTTGGGTTGTCATAAAAAGAATTTGTTCGTGGGCTTGACCCACTATTATTTTTCAGGTGCTCATCAGTTTCAGACATAAAGCTTGTTCGTACTAACCAAAGACAGTCCATATCACTCTTCCGATTCTACGTAGGATTCTCTTTATGTTTTAGTGTTGGGATTATATTTTTTTTCAGTTGTTTCAGTTGGGATTATCATTAGGGGTCCACTAGATGGATTCCCGAATTGTAATGATATTAAAGGTTTTTAGATATTTCATTTGTAGGATTTATTATTTAGTTTTCTTTTTTGCTATTTTATTTATTCATAGTTATTTCATTTGAAATCAAATGCTTATTTGTATACATAATTGTTTGGTATCCCTTGAATTTATGTTTGGACTTGATTATCCGTGACTCTAGAATCAAGGGGTAGCACACGTCACCTTAAATGGCACCGGCTAAGGACCCTTCGACGATTAAATTAGTACTTGTAATCGTATAACATAAGAATAAATGGACTGATTGTCTGGTGCTTACTCATCCCACATGAAAATTTGAAGGTTCAAGTTCCTATTTTTTAATGTTCAGTGCACTTGGGTTTTTTTTTTTTTTCAAAAATTTCATTTTTTTTGCACTTGCTTTCTTTGTAACTAAATATTTTGGGGCTTGAAGACGTTCTCCACCTGCTCAAACCCACCCATTCCATTTGCCAAGTCTAGTATTGGAACCTATATCTATTCTCCACCTGCTCAAACTCACGAGATGATATTGTAGAACTTTTTACATGGTCCAGGACACCAACGACATGTAATTATGTCAGCTTTCCGTTTATGTAGCCTCATATGATTGGATGGAATTATGTAATATTGAATTATTTAGTAGTCCAAATAGATAACCATACATGGATGAGATAAGCTCCAACAGTCTGTATGGATGTGATTGCTAAATCAAAGAATATATCTTAAAATGGATAAAAACAATCTTACACGCTATGGATACGTTTTAAGGAAGGGATGGAAAAGGTAAGTGAGTGAAGAGAGAGGTTGTGATCAAATTCACATAGGGTGAGGTTAACAATTTCACGCGTGGATCCTGGGCCGGCCTTAACTCAAGGCGACCAAGGCGGTTGTCTAGGGACTCAAGATTTATAAGGCCTCAAATTTTGCAGGCCTATTGACGATGGGCTTAAAAAAATAATAATAAATAAGACAATTGACTTACAATTTGAAAATGCCTCAAATATTAGCCTATCTTAATATCTCATTGGCAAAATTTAATACGAATCATATGATCATCTTATGCCTCTTGCCTTTTCTTTTCTCTTTATGCCATTTTCTTTAAAGTAAGCACACAACCTCATATATTTGTTCCCTGTTGGATAATAAAAAAATTTATATATATGTTTTCTACCCTTTGAGTAGTTAAATCTCTCTTATACTTTATATATATTTTATATGTATGATCATCACACTAGTTACAAGCTTGCAGTTAAATGCAAACTAAACATATAACATTCTTACTTTCCGAAAAAAAATTATAGAACACTCTTTGTTGTTGGCCCCTCAATATCTTGTCTCAAATTTTCATTTTTCCATAGCTGAACTCTTAGTCTCTGGTCTCGGTAGACTGTAACTACTTCTCCAATTTTTATATCTCCAATTCCATAGCTGAACTCTTAGTCTCCGGTCTCGGTAGACTGTAACTACTTCTCCAATTTTTATATCTCCAATTTTTACAAAGGCTTTTTTTTTTTTTTTTTTTTTTTTTTTTTAATTATTGCATATTGAGCCATTGAGGTAATCTATATTTTCTTTTAGCAAAACATTTTTTTTCTTTTTAAGTTTAGTTTTATGTTGATTGTGTTTCTGTTATTTAGATTTCAAGATATTCATTTTGATTGGGCATAAAAAATTGGTTCAAGAGATTTCACTTTGATTGGGCCAAAAAAAACGTTTTCCTCTAAGGGAAATCGTTGTGCTAAGACACATTTGTAATTCTTTAATTATTTCCTCCAAACTCTTTTAGGGAGTGAAGTAATTCTCTCACAGATTAACAATTTTTTTTTATAAAATTATTATTTCATAGATTAGTATGCATATAAAGTTGGAAGTTCTTATAGAATTATTGTATGTTCCAATCCAGCAATCTTTCACTTGGACGTCTTAAGGACAAATTAATTAGAAAAACAAATCATTGCATTGAGGTAATATCAATATTTTATTTCAGCAACCTGGATTAATTCATTGCATTGCATTGCTTTCCTCACATTTAAAATTCGCCTAGGGTCTTTCAAAATATTTTCAATCTCAGAGCCTGACTTGGGTGGATCTCTAAACTAAAATTCTTTGTTATCAATAATTAAATTATTATGATTCAAAAGTATATCCTATGGTCCAGATAAGTGAGTCAACTACTTGATATGGATCATATACATATATTTACGCAAAATTATACAGTGAAAACATACTATTGAAAGACAAATTTCAATTAAAGCAAGAAGTCATATTCATGGTTACAGTGACTTACAAATTTCCATTTTTTGTTTTTGTTTGTTGGGTAAACCATAGTTTTACACTGACACATGATTTGTATATATTATTTACGGGTAAGCAGCATTTGTAGACTACTTCCCTTATGCATAGAACTACATCAGAAGAAGAAAGAAGACAAGTTGGATACGACATATCACATAAAATTAAATTAAGAGACAATCAATATTTTTTTTAATTTATAATAATAACTACTATTATCCAAATATAAATTATTAATATTTTTTTAATAATATTACAATATCAAATATAAATATTTTTTAATAATATTACAATATTTTTCTAATAACATTACAATATTTTTTTAATAATATTACAGTACACCCAAAAAAAATATTACAATATCAAATATAAATATTTTTTAATAATATTACAATATTTTTCTAATAACATTACAATATTTTTTTAATAATATTACAGCACACCCAATCCAATCAAATCGCGAATTGTTATTTTTTTAAACATAATGAGATCTACAAACTGATCACCCAACTATGACATCTAAAAACCGAATCGATTTGAACTGACGAATTATTTGCTTACCCTGCTAAAATTGTTGCGTCCTTGGGGAGAGATGTACACGTAACGGATTCTTCATCACAACAGTGAACTCTTGCTTCTCTGATAGATCAACATCGCCATCATCACCAGCCGTCCATTTGAAATACCAAATCAAATTAGCAACAAAATACTCCAAATGAAGCAAAGCCAAACTCGACGCGGGGCAAATCCTCCTTCCCGCTCCAAATGGCATCATCTTGATTTCTCTGCTCCCAGTTATGTCAAAACCACCAGCTTCTCCTCCGATCACCGCCTCTTTATCAGCACCACCGCCAATCCCATTAACAGTAGTAGAAGTCAAGAATCTATCTGGTTTGAAATCCATTGGGTCATCCCATACTTTAGAGTCCCAACCCATCTCGGCCACCATGAAATTGATGGTGGCATTCTTCGGCACCACGAACCCTTCTAACTCAGTCTCCTCCGTCACCGAGTGAGGCAATACGAAGTGCCCCGGCGGGTGACGCCTCAGGCCTTCCAACACCACAGCTTTCAAGTATGGCATCCTCGGCAAATCCTCCTCCTTTATCACTATCAACCCCGCCTCCTCGTCCGATGGTGGCAGCGGTGGCGGTGGTCCCACGACTCCGGTAACCTCTTCATAAAGCTTGGCCTGAACATCCGGGTACTTCACCAAGCTAGCCATGATCCACTGCAACGCCGTCGACGTCGTGTCAGTGCCCGCGTTGAGAAATTCCTCGCACAGACTCACCATCTCGTCGTCGTTAAGCTTCCTCTTCTCCTCCGGCAACTCCAGATCCATCAAAGTGTCGACGTACGCCACCACACCATCACCATCACCGTACTCTTCTTTCCGTTGCTTCTTGAGAGCAACTTCTACTGACCGGGCTCTGATCAGAGGGATCAATACAGCATCCTCATTCTGTCGCAGCCGTATCAGTTCTTTCCACCGATTCCGGAACAAAATTTTTCCGATGGTCGGCCAGAAATTGAGTATGTTAAATCGGTCAAAACTCAGTAACAGCTCTCGCTGAACTCTTTCAATTTCTTTGATTTGCTTTTCCTCAAGCTTGTCGCCGAAGCACATCAAGACCAGAAGACAGAACATGGCGTACTGAAAATGATCCACCACTATCACGGATTTCGATTCCGACTGCGATTTGTTTAGGCGGTTAATAAGGATGGCGAGAACCCAGTTTCGCGCCGCCGAGTAATTCTTGACGCGGGAAGGGTGGAGTATCTCGGAAGTGAGGTTGCGGCGGAGGGTGCGCCAAGTGGGGCCGTAGGCGGCGGAGCTGACGCTGTGTTGGTTGCTGTTGATGATCTTGCCGGCGGCCAGCGCCTTGGGGCGGTCGGAGAAGACGGCGCCATTCTGGACAAGGACTTTGTGGGCGAGCGAGTGGTTGCCGATGAAGATGGCCGGCCGAGACCCTATATGCAGAGTGATGATGGGACCGTACTTTTGCCGGAGATCTTTGAGGACGAGTTCGATCTCCGAAAACGACTTCCGTAGCAATAGAAAGTTTCCGATGATCGGAAAAGTAGAGGGTCCCGGCGGAAGCTTCTTTTTGTTGTGGGAAGAAGAAGAGAAGAGGAGGTTGAAGAAAAATTTGATCAGTGCTGAGATGCATAGCGAGACGAGGATTATGAACCAGGTCTCCATGATTGTATTATTTTCAACTGTGTGTGTGGTGTTTAATGACTGGATAAATAGAGGAAATCTGAGACTTTTGAAATCCAAAATTCAAATACTACAGGAGGAAAGGGCCGAGAGGCCCACACTGATGCACAACTAATGGGTCCCACAAGCTGGTGGATATAATATATATTTTTCCTGTTCCTCTTCCTTTCCGATGTTTAACCAAAATTCAATGAACGCCATCATCTGGTGTCTTTTTGTAGATTTGCATAGAATGTTGTTTTTAGATAATCGGTCACATGTTGGAGTCCACCGATTAACACCACATTTTGCAACAATTATTCAAAGAGGGGGAGGATGACTAGTAACGTAATTGTGGTAGAGAAAGAGTGAGTACATTTTATCTTGGTATTAGGGGGGGCTCAATCCAGCATGGACTTGGGGAAAAAAAAAAAAAAAAATCCAGCATTGGCTGCATTTCACTTTGACTCATTCTCTAGCTCGAACTCAAACTCGAGTTTGGAGGGGAACTAGTAAAACATGTGATTTGAGTCTGTGGTTGCTTGGAATGGATTACATAATTTAATGAATTTAATATTCGATTCCATTTATTTAATAGAGAAATCAAATTATCTTATTCAACTTAACCTAACCACTGGTGAAGAACAATTCAATTCATTTGTTATCTTAATTAGTAGTTTATATTAAAATTGGCACAAGTAATCACACCATCCTATGTCCCTAGTTCCAAACTTCCAATTTGTATAAATATATTGCATATAATTTATGGGAATAACACAAGTTTTGTAAATACCATACACACGCAATTTTGACAGAAATATGAGAGTTAAAAGACTATAGTTATGTAAATAATATTCCCACATAATTTTTGTTCTCAAACTCGATTTCGAACTTCTCTCATTATCTTTAAGAATAGAGAGAGATTATACAATCAAACTAAATGCCTGCTGCTTTGGATTAACATTCTTGTATTGGCACCTTAAACATGCTCTTTTTCCTTATTTCATTAATAATAAAAAATTCCATTTTCACCCTTACTCCAGCTAAGACGAAGAACATTTTTTCTTCACCACCATACCAATAAGTACTCCATTTTTTCGGTGACTAGTGTTTATCAAAGACTTTTCTTGGTAATCAATAAATATAATCAAGAATTAGGATTTTATTATTATTATTTTTTTTTATAAAAATTATACGGGTAAATATTATTAAGATTTAACTCATCTAGGTGGGTCATCCTAACAAATTTGTGTCAAAAGCGTAAAATGAGGTATCATTGCTGTCTCTTTCTACTGCTTGATGTTTTTTCCAAACATCATCCTACTATCATCAGATTTGATTAATTTGCAACAAGAGAAAGTAACAAGAGGTTTTATGCCACAATAATATTTTAAAGTTTGTTAAATAAATGAAATGAGCCACGTCAACCTTGACTTATTATTACATTTTGCGAAATTGTTTGTGAAATAAGTGTCCGTAATCCAACAAAAAGCATGTCCTTCTCGGTAGAAGAATTTGTAAATTATTAATATGTATATTAATTTTCTTTTAAATATCCATCCCATACTCAAATTTAAAGTTTTAATCAAATCTTATATGAATTTCTAAATATTTAGAATTAACTTCAATTACACTATTTATACTTTGTCCAATCTTGAAGGAGATTTCTCGCATTTGCTAAAAATTCAGTCAGATTCTTACTTTTACTGGCTGACATCAGTCTCCTTTTTTTCGGTCAAAATTGGTCAAAAACACTTTTTGTTGCAAAAAAATTAAATTTTAATACCCAAATTACCCCTCAACGGTTTTGTTTGCCTACAGACCATATCAAATCCCCCTCAACAGTCATGTTTGGAAATTGGGACAGAGAAGGGGTTGCAGCAGCGAAAACATATTGGTTCGCCGTGATTTCAGTCTGAGGCTGCTGCTGTGGCGGAGGGTGGCTGCGCCTGCTCCCTTGTCTCCGGCGGCCGTTTCCGTCGCTACTTCCGATATTACCCATCTAATTTCACATCTTCAAATACTTGGAAAACAACCCAAATTGTTAAAAAAAAAAAAAAAAAAAAAAAAAAAAAAACTACCTTTCATCAACAAAATTGAATTGACATACTGCAAAATGACAACTGTATATACACTATATATAGTCCAACACAAACACCACCGATGCCGACGCACACACTCACTCTCTCAGAATCAAACGCACACAAACACGAAGAATATGTTTTCGTTGTTTCAATTTGTATGTGGTTTTACTTAATGGAAGGAAATCAATTGATGAGAAAAAAAACTGCAACAATAGGATTGGCTAGTTCCATGATTCGTAGTATTTAAGTCTCTGATGATTTCTTTTTAATTTTTTTTTAATTACTCATGTTTGCTTTCTTTGGTAGGTTATTTGTTTTTCTTTAATTTCCTTCTATATATTAAATTATTTTTTCCAATCAATGGATTTACAAAATCTGAATCCATGAATCACAATAGAAATTACAGGAGATGTGATGAGCAATCAATTGGTCCGTGTTTCCGAATTAACCGTGACCGACAAATCTAAACCAAACTGTGATCTCCATTTGTTTATTTTTCCTGATTTGATTATTTTTTATTTTATACGGTGATTCGGAAAATTAGGGTTTATTTCTCTGATACTATTATTATTGTGGTTAAATGCTTGTATTGCAAAATTTGGGTTTATTTTTATTTATGGCAAAAGAAGTGGCTCAATGATTACATGCCTACTTTATTGGCAGTATACGCTATTCTGACTGAGAACATGAGCAAACATTTTATCGAAATATCATGAGAGCAATTTTTTAATTTGTTTAATTTTCTGTTTGGATATTGTCTTCTCCCTCCAACGCGACTCCAACACAAACACCATTGATGCCGTTTAGTTCTCTCTCTCCCGCTCTTGTTCGCCGAAAAAAGAGCAAATCAGTTAAAAGTGAGCCGGTTTTGTTATTGTTATTTTCTAAAACAACGAAGGGTAAATTAGTTATTACATTTATTTATTTGTTTTTGTGGCCGAAAAAAGAGCAAATCAGTTAAAAGTGAGCCGGTTTTGTTATTGTTATTTTCTAAAACAACGAAGGGTAAATTAGTTATTACATTTATTTATTTGTTTTTGTCCGCTGATAATGTCTGATAGGAGAGGTCTGACTGAATTTTTGCAAATGTGAAGGATCTCCTTGAAGATTGGACGAAATCCAGATAGTGTAACTGAAATTAACCCAAATATTTATCGGTATAAGTGTTCGTAATTCAACTGACTCCTTCGTGTGTACATGACCTTTTTAGTAGATAACTTATAAATTATAAAAATATATATTATATCATTTCAATTACGATCTCATACTCAAGTTTTATAAGTTACAACTGATTCTTATATGAACTTGTAAATGTTTGTGGTTTTCATGTTTTTTCTTTTTTTGAAAATTTGGTTTTCATGTTGTTAGATATACACTGGTACAGTACAGAATCCATATACCAGTACTGGGGTATATAAGCTTTATATTACTACTTGTTTTCTGTTGCATTATTTTTAAGTGCTTTAGAGTGTATTTGGTTAGATAGAAATTGACAAAGGAAAGTGAGTGAAATAAATGAAAATTAGTTTTCCATGTCTTTGATTAGCATGATTTTTTTTATTTTTTATTTTTTATTTTTATTTTTATTTTTATTTTTATTTTGGAGAAAATATGAAAAATTATTATTTTGTGGTTTTGTATAGTGTGAAACTTACCATAAAAGAGGGGTACAATTGGAATTTGATATATTTTTCTCAAGAAATTAAAATTTTTGTGCTTCAAACCAAACTAAGCCTTAGACGGTAATTAGTAACCCAAGTTCTAGAGTTCATCTAATAAAACTCTTAATGGTGAAGAAGACTAACACTTTTTATTTATTTATTTATTTTGAGAGGGTGTTTTGGGTCATTTTACAAAGTCTTGTCGGGAATTAAAGTAAAATTTTGTGTGAGCACCGTAGACCCAACAAACAGGTTCAAACCCATGTCTTATTCAAAAATTTGTCCTACAACAATGCTTTGTTACATAGGTAATTCATTTTGAAATCTAGCGATGCAGTAGGTTTAATTACGAGTAAAGCCAAGCCATCTTCTCGAAGAGGGTGTATAAAAGACGAGTCACTTCTAAATATGTGTTGGAAAACTGCATGGATAAATTTACATTAACTCGTCAATTTGAACTTGCTTTGATATGTCCAATCCAATGCCTCTCTGTACCACAAGGTTATGATGAATAAGAACAGTGAGTTGCACCGTAACATAGAAGTAATATTATACGAAGACTCTGGAGAACACAACACACTATGGAAATGCTTATCTAATGATATAAAATATAACAATTAAAAAAAAAAAAAAAAAAAAATTTGAGTAACAAATTCACTTCCTTCAAAGTGGAGCTGCTACTGCCAGCATAACTAGTGCTCTCAGTTTTCCTTCCTTTTGGTTTTTGGTTTCACATCATCATGGATACATGAGGACCAATAGAGCGGTAGAAGTGCGCATGCTGCCTGTATAATGAAACCATGAGGCAAATCCGAAAAATTGTTTCCTTCTTTTGGAAATTTCATTTTTTTTGCATTTGCTTTCTTGTAAATAAATATTTGGGACTTGAATACTTATCATTTTAAGATGAGAACCAACCTATATCATTCTCTACCCACTCAATCCCACCTATTTCATTTGCCAAGTTTATTGGAGAAATTTTTACATGGGTCGGGAGCAAATCACATGCAATTGTGTCAACTTTTGGTTTTTATGACTCCATGTGATTGATTGGAATTATATCGTATGGAAGATAATCCATTACTTGGAAGAGAGTTGTATGGATGTGATTGATAGATCAAAGAATAAATCTTAAATTAGATTAAAACAATCTTCTTCTTCTTCTTCTTCTTCTTTTTCTTTTATTTTTTATTTTTATTTTTTATTTTTTATTTTTTATTAACGAAACATAAACAAAGGTTGAGATCAATTCACATGAAGTGGAGTTTATTACATAATAAGGTTGAGATCAATACACATAGGGTGGGGTTTACCATTGATCTCCAAAACCAAATTTTTTGTTATTCATATTTAAATTATGATTCAAAAGTCTATGCTATGGTCTAGATAAGTGAGTCAA